TAATATTATTGTGTGATCATTGTAAATGGTCTCCACTCGAGCCTGTCTTTACGAGTCTGTCATTAAACTATAAGTACTTTGAGAACGTCACGCGTTATTACATTGTTATCTGTAGTGTATTTACGAGTTCTATAAATATTGCGCGGGAAATCTATCGAACTCGCATCTGATCGTTCTTATTTTGAAGATACGCCTATCTTTCGTTCGCCCCATTGATAAACTTCTCGGAGAAGAAAAATCTCTTTGTCACGAAATACACTCATTCGATCGGAAAAAAGTATGGTCGCGCGTATGGTTAAAAACTTCTTCGACTGTCGATATTGGAAATGCAGTCATCGACGAAATGTCAAGTATCGACATTTTGACCTCGACCTCGCAAGAAGCTGTTTGTATTTATAGTTCCGTTTGACGATCGCGAATGATTCACAGAGAATGCTCCGGTTATAAATTAGTTCGTTTAACCGACGCGAATCGTCGTGAAAATTACGTGAATTTCTTGACGTGAAAGTCCCGAGTCATTGCTATTAAAGAAAAATAAGAATATTTTATGTATGTATGTATTTTTTCTATAATATAAATATTTTACAAGAATTTCGTAGGATTTTTTTTTGGAATTGATTTTTTAGAACCCTAAAGACTCGTTACAATCACAATCGTAGAAACGTAAAAGATTTAATATCATTTGGTCGTATATTTTATCAGATTATTCTAATCTATTCGTATTATTCAATACGTTATCGGGTTTTAATTCTGGACTGTCCATGTGATTATATTTAAATAGCAAAGTATCCTTTGAAGTGAAACGTTGATCTCACGAATTGACCTTTTTTAAGTTCAGTGAAATCTGATAAAAGTGTAGCTGATAAAAACGTTTGTCAAACGAAAATGTTTTTCTTTGACCATTTGTTTTTTATGTTCTCTTCTCCAGTTTTGTGAATCAGAACTGATGAAGACTGCTATCGCGTCGATATAATGAAATAAGCGAAACGACATTTATTTAACATTCTTCCGACGACTCGTTTCCGCGTTATTTTCATTCGATCGATACGTGAAAAAAAAAAGAAATAGCACGCGATCGTCGTGAACAAAACATTACTTAACTTGTAACAGAAATGTGTTTACGGACGTTAGTGACATATTTGACGTAAAGGAACATTCCTCAATGCCGGTTTTCCTTGGATAAATTTCTGCCTGAGACTGGTATGCTAATTCATTGGCAAGAAATCGTCGTCGTCGTCGTCGTCGTCGTCGTCATCGTCGTCGGCATATAATCATGCACGTTCAGCATCTTTCCGTCCGGCCAATTTCGTATCTCGTTCTCGTCTTATCAAGCGACTTCGAAGAAAGCAAGGATCGAGATCTGTAATTGTTGCAAAGATGTTACGCCGGTCTTTTTATAATTTTTCAACTTTATATACGAATATTAGAAACAGAAATAATTCTATAACTTTCTACAACGTAGAAAATATTTTATTTAATCTTTCTTACGTCGTGCGAGGTACTTTTTTTACGCGATATGGCCCTCGCCAATCCGGCTTCATTTACGGAATTCATATTTGCTTCCTGAAAATTACCATGTTCTTTATCGAGTAATTCCATAGCAGTTTGCAATCCCGTTGAGATATACGCTCCAATTTGTCCTTGCCAGAATGCTTAATTTTCGCAGATAAAGGGACCATTCAGCCAGTGATTGAAGGACCCAGTCTAATTAGTTTCATTTGTATAAGTTGGTACTTGGCCTGGTTTATTGTCGCGCGTCGTCAGTAGCATGGCCTTATAAAGTGGCCCCTCCATTATTTCAGACGCAATATCGTTTGATAGTAGTCCAAGCAATAGTGCGCTACCTCTTATCGTCGGATTTTTATTACTTATTGAAACGCGATCGGGCAAAAGGGTTATTTACTCTCGACAAAAATGCATTTTAAATCGTACAAAATATTTGTTAAATAATATTGCTTAAATAATAAGCTGCTTTTATGTAATCAAATCAATATTATTTTAATAAGAAATATGATATAATTTCTCGTTGCCTTTTAATTGTTGCATTTTTATCTGTATATTCGTCAGTCTACGCACAATTGGCAGTGCACGTCGATTACTACTATCGCTATTACGAAATCAACGGTACAGTATTACTTAATATAACGGCCTTGAGGGTAATCTCTGCTCTAATCAGGAACTTGCCTCGTATCGTAATTTATCTACAGGATGAGGAGGAGTGCAATAAAATAATACGTACATCAGTCACGTGTATCTGAATTTGATCATATCGTAGATATTGATAATTGATAATGTGTTTCGGTTACGCGAAATTAAATTTCGATTTGCGACCAATTGTGGTGACATTTCGAATGAAACGAGAGCTTTGCGGTGTGTACCAAATGCTATATTTTATGTCATAAAATATATACATTTCCGCGCTGCTAATTCACACGCACGTAACAATTACGTTAAGTAATTAAATTGAATTATTGACAAAATTTCACGTACAACACATTTGCTCCTCGTTCGGTCCCTTGTGCCCTCACGAAAGATCACGGAAGATCGATTTCAATTAACGACAAGCCAAATTTGTTCGAGTCTCGCATCTCGAAATCTGTGTTGACGAAAAATAACGAATCAATGAGTGTCACGGCGTATCGTCGATATCATGACGCTTTTCTTGGTACAGTGCATCCCTTCTAACCCGACCGGCGTATTCGTGACCTTTCGACCAACTGAGCCCCGTGGCGATCGTGGCGCATCTTTCAACGCCCTCCCGCAGATATTGGCCCGCGCCCTCCTCTCCGGATCGGGTGAACCGGCCCGAAGATTGAACAAAGGAGAGAGACGTAAACGCGGCCTTGCCCTTTCGGAGGCAACCTTCATCGATCGGCCACGTTCATCGGCGTGCAAATATGCGTCCCTTCTTCGGCCGGTTACGCGGTATAGGAGCATGAGCCCGTCGCGTCCGCCCGTCGTCATCGAAGCGACGATGAAGAAGCGTAGGTCGCGGACGAATCGCAGGACCAGCGGTTGAAGATCGGGCGACCCGCAATCGGGCGCGAACAATATGCCGTAGGACAACGGATACGCGAATGATGACGTGAATGAGGAAAACGTGAATACAAACGACGCGATGTCCGACTCCAGTGGCGGCTTGATAGAGTTCATCGGGTCGACCGGCAGCGGCGGCGGGGGCGGCGGCTGCGGTGGCCTAAAGAGATGCGGGGGTGGCATGAGCTCGCCCGCGTTGAATGCCGGCAACATCGGCGCAACGGGCGGACTTCCCAGGACCATGTCGACCTCCGCGCTGCGAGTTCGTACGCCCAGGAGGGCGCTCTTTTGGGAGCAATGCTTCGATAAGAGAGACTTGTAAGTCCTCCTTTCGCACCTCCAATGCCTTTCCGGCTGCCGGGCAGTTTCCGCTCGTGTCGGAGGGAGAAAAGTCTCCTCGTTGCCCTGGTGGAATTTTATCAGTTATGCGATATATCCGAACGAATCGTTTCGTATTTAGATCTACCTTTATGTTACGTTTTGTGATACACGTCTATAGAGTTCCTAGAGAACGATTCTTTTCTATTTTATGCGTGAAATGTCTCGTCTGACGTGAAATATATTACGTTAGAGCTTTATGTTGGATATTGGAACAAGTATCTTATGTTGTTATAGATTTCTTTAGACTTCCTAGTAACCTATATGGAAACGACCGGAGATGTGTTTTATGATTGTCATTCATTCTTAATATCAGAAATGGATGCTCCGGCGAAATAATTTCTGAAAGACTAACGGTTGACAATAACGATTGACATGTAACCCACTTCTTGGTTACAATAATGTTCAGCGAAGAATAAATCGTTCATAAAGGTACCTGACGAATGCATTACAAAACGCAATCTCGAAATCTCAGAACGAGGAATATTCGAGAGATTACGTTCGAAATGTGGGATGACGTAAAGCTTGAATATACGAGACATATCCGTTCAGTCCGCACAGATTGTGTATTACATCAAACTTTGATAGAATTGAAATTCTATCCACAACACAATACACAAAATAACATATTTTATCGAAATGATTTGACGCTGTAACGAATCACATTTCGTTCAAAATTTGTTCGTTGATATTTTCTTATAAATTCGGATAAATCTAATATAATGATATTGTAAATTAATCAGTTAGCCAGTGACCACATGAAAATTATTTGTTTGTTACAAATTTCTTTTTTCAAAATTAGTGTCATTGGGCGTTTTCCAGTAAAAGATATATAGTCTAACACTATGTCATCTGTGTCTTGTTGGAAAATACCTATCATCTGCATCTAAATATGAGATGTAACACAAGATTGTCATTATACTACAGGTTGTTTATTATCTGGAAAATCTGAAATTTTCAGAGAATTTGTTTATGTCTTGAAAAATCAAAAAATTCTCAAGAAATTTTATTAAAATCGGGGAATTTTTTTGAAGTTGCTTTTTCTCATGTTTTGTTTTTATTATATTGATAATCGGGAGTTTACCGACTGAACTTTTAACGATACAATGAATTTATCTTTTCTAAACATCAGAGCATATTGATTTTACGACTTAAATATTCACTATTGAAAATAAACGATTTCGTATTTGATGCAATTTTGATTAATCAAAACGGATATTTATTTTAATAGCTTTATAAAAATGAATTGAATTTTTTAGCAATTGCGCGTTATATAATTTTTTGTTTGTAACTTTTGAAAATAAAGCTTGAAAATTTTGTACAACATGAAATGTTTATTTTATAGAATCCTCAAAGCTTCAAAATTTTTCAAATTTGATTAATCGAACTCGAATGATTCTGAATTTTATTTTGTTATTTATAAATTTTCATGAATGAAAAATACGAAGGAGTTTGCACGTATGAATAAATATATTCATTTCTGAAACACATTTAAAAATATTTTCACTCTATCTGAATTTTTTAACAAATTATTTTTAAACTCACCGAATTCTCAGGAAATTTTTTTCGAGTTTAAACAGACACCCTATATACCAATATACTTATTAGAAGTAGACACTCGCCCTGGGATTCTCTATTTCGGTCATTTATACAACATCTTTTTATGTCGTCGGGTCGTCGATTATTGCGCCGCAGAACGCGCTGGCATAAATTCAAAGAAGTAGTCCGCAGAAAACTCATTCGGTTTTATTGGCCTGCGACATATCAATTTGGTATACCTTTAGCGCGCCGTGCCATTCGGGCGAGTGTAATACAAGCTAAATCAGATTAACGAACGTCTCATCGGGGGTAGATGCGCATTTTGGAAAACGGCCAGTTTCGCTTGCCGTTCGCAATTCCACGACCATACGTGATACTTCCACACATATACACGAGGCACAACGGTCTGCTGGCCTGTGTCCTAACCATAAGTCACGGATAACGACGCCCGGATCGTTATTCTTGTAGAAGTTGATTATCGGATGTCACTTAACGAGTATATGTGGAACCGTCTTGGATTCTATTTTGAGGTTACGCTATACTTAACGGGATCCTTAGATTAGGTGCGACACACTAAGACACGGTGATTATGTAAACGCGGTAATTATGCTGAATCAATGAGCGTGAATTAATGAGAGCATGCATCAAAGGAGGTCAAGGAAAAGATTTACGTCATTGTTGGAAAAACATACACATATCGCTAGGATTATGTATGTATATTATGACAAAGATTAGTCTTTTGTGCTGCAGAGAATTTCAATTTTGGGTGAAAAATTATGGTTGGAATGCGCTGTCATTTGCAATGTTCCCCGTCGTGATTTTCATTGGTGCGTTTAATTTACAGTAACGCAACATGCGATATGAATGGGCTTTATCCATATATATGAATTATATTTAAAGATAAAGTGTTTCAATTTTATGAAGACATTAATTTGTTGAAATTTGTATTTAATCAAATTTATGTTGATTCCGAATTTATCACGACTGAACATTTTGAATATTTATCCCAAGGTATTTATTTGAGCAATTATTTGAGTAAAATAAAAATTAAATTAAAACTTGATGAGTTAGGGAAACACGGTATTTGTTAATGGGAGGATTAACTAAATGTGAAATGTTTGTCAAATATTATTCACAGCAAACATGAAGTTTACAATTTGAGTTTGTTTTGAACGCGTTGCCTAATCTGTTGATTCATCAAACATCTGGACAATTGAAAATTGTTATACATAAAGGATTGTGTGATTTTTCGAAATTGTGAGAAGTTTAATAGAGATAGTTATAAATAAGGATCCGATTAGAGAACATACGTGATTTAACAATGCAATTTTGTTAGGAGAGAGGTAACGATAGGCTACTTGAAAAGTAAGATTGAAATTCTCCTGCTACACGTAACCGATCGCAATTCTCAAATTGCGTACTGGAAATTTATTATATGCCATGCCGCCTTGTTATTTAGAACGAAAACAACGAAAGTTTCGCAAACTCTGTTAACAACATTCGTTAAATATAGTTTTCGCCAGATACCGCGTACTCGGCATATAATCCGCGTGACATTTCTCGGATCTTCTAAACTTCTCGGATTTCCATCATTAATTTTTTTTTATCGAGAAATTTATTGCGAATTTAATTTAATATATGATAATCGTTCAGGCGCGGAAAGTTTTTATCACTCGGTGGACAGCGTTTCGCAATTATTTTGCATTGACGCGGAGGAGCGTCCGAATGATCGGAATTCAAATTTATGTGATTCGGAAGCACCACGTCCGACCGGCTAATCAGATGTTATTCAGCGAATATTGCGTTTCATATTCCGCTTGCTTGTCAGTTTGTCAGAGCGGCATCTGGCGTTATCTGGCCTCAAATCGACATGCTTTGTATACGTTTTAACCTTGTCTGCATTCCAAAATCCACTTTTATCCTAGCTTACGTAATCACAATATTTGGCTATCGGTTGCCTCTATTATATTACAATTTATTACAATTATTGATTATTTGCCATCAATTATACAGATGGAGTCTCATAAATGTATGTACATAGATCGACC